GTCCTACCATAAGGTTTAATAAATAAAAAGCATATTGAAGTTTTTTTTTTTTTTTTAAATTTCATACCTTTTTTTAAAGCCATATGTAAAACCTTAAAAATCGATTGAACCTTGAGTTTTAAATAGCATACACATATCCCACCTTGATCTGAGAGTTATTAATATTTATTATGTGACAGACATTGTACTGAGTATTTCATACAATTTATTTAATGCTCCGGAAAAACCCTGTAAATTAAATGGACTTCCCATTTACAAAAGAGGAAACTGAAGTTGAGGGGTTCGGAGATTTCAGTGGAGCTAGGATTCTTGGCCCAGAACACCAAACACAGTCTGTGTCCATGTTATATCTGAATATCTTGATTCTGTCTAGCTTTTCCATTCTAGAGTCAGCCCCAGGCCACGCTGCCCATTCTTATTTGTCATCTGATTTGCATGTGCTAGGCAAGTGTTCTGCTGCTGAGCCACAAGCCCAGTCCTCTTTGCTTATTTTTATTCATTTATTTAGTTTATTCATTTATTAGTTTTATTCATTTATTTAGTAAACTCTGGATTCAAACCTGCCCTCTCATATCCATCCTGTTCACACTTGTCCTGGTATTCTATCTCAAGTGTAAATCTGACCTTTCTGGAGGAAACAACTCCTGTCCTCTTGAGTTGGTCACTTTAATTCTTCAGCCTCATTCTCATGGCTCTCTACAATATGACTTCTGGTTCAGGAGGAGTCAGGAGTACCAAAGTGTTGAGTTCCCCTTGCATTTACGAGTATTTGAGTGCCTGTTGTGTGTCAAGCAGTCTGTTGAAGGCCAACAACAACATCTCTTTTGATCCACAGGGTGAAGGTTATGTCCCTGAGCTAGCGTAGTGATATTAGGGGTGGAGAGAATATTCATCAGATATTGATGAGATACAATCAGTAGGACTTAGTGAGCAAGAAAGGCATTTTGAGATGGGTGTGGTAGCCCATGCCAGTAATCCCAGATTTCAGAGGCTGAGGCAAGTTTGAGGCCAGCCTCAAGAATTTAGTGAAACCCTCAGCAACATAGTGAAAATCTGTCTCAAAATAAAAAGGGAATAAGAATGTAGCTCAATGGTACAATGCCCCTGGGTTCAATCTCCAGTACTAAAAAAAGTCATTTTGGGTGTCTCCTAGGTTCTGGCATAGGCAGCTGGAATGATGATGGTGAGCCAAAAGCCCCATGCAAATATGAGAGTATAACACCAGAGAATATTTGGTGGGAAAACTGATGGTGTTAGAAATGTGTTAGGAAGAGTAATCCTGGACTGAGAGTGGGAAATTTTGTTCTGATGATAACAAACTCAGTAGTGATGAGTGGTCATTGTATCTCTACCAGCCTCAGTGTCCCTTATCTGAAATAGACTGGATGAGTTTAACTTTTCCTACTTTAAATAGTAAACTTCCAACCTGGTTACATACAAATTATCTGACTTCAGTTTGCTTCTTTCTGTGTCATACAATGATAACCCATCCATTTTGGAGGCTACTGTGTACCATGAACTGGTAACATAAAGCTGAACATAGAACAGGTCTCAGTGAGTTCCCTGTTCTTGATGAGTTTCTGTTCAGTCGAGTGAATAACTAGGAACACTAAAAACAAAAACAAAAAACCCAAACAACAACAAAAAACAACAATGAAGATGCTGAGATGGAAATTTGTACTGGGTTCAGGGGAGCCAACAAGAGAGTCTGGTCAGCCCTACTGGGTGGGTGGAGAGAGGAATGTGACCAGGAAGACCAATGACCCTTGTTCTGAGGCTGGAATAAAGAGCAGGCAGAAGCGGGTGAGGAGCATCATTCCATAAGATGCTAGAGTGGAGGAGAGTGGGCAGCTGTAGCCTAGCAGGGTTTGACAAGCCTTGCCAATGAATTTGGACTTAATTCTCAAGGTTGTGGGAGGAGAATACCATTGGATTAGTGAAGAGAAAGCAAGGAACGAGAGACGGGGTAAGCGAGAAATGGAAGATGGAGACCAGGTAGAGATACACACAAGAGTTTGTCTGTCAGCTCTGCCTGGTCTCCGTCTTTCATTTCTTGCTTACCCGTAGAGTTCCTTGCTTTCCCTTCAATTAGCAATGTTCATATTTATCCTTTTTCAATATCTAACATATTTATTTCACATATTAATAGACTAGTCTTGAGAGCAAAGACTTATTTGAAAAAATGGCATTGGAATACAATTTCCATTTATTACATCCTTTTAAATAAAGCAGTTCACCAGGAAGATATGATATTCCTGAATCTCTGCATACTTGACAGCTAGTCTCAAAAGATATAAAGTAAAAATCAAGAAGGAAAAAATACAAAAAGTATGAATTTTTAAAAAATAAGACCTCTCAAAAATAATAGGTTAAGCAGTCAGAAAAATTAGCGAGTTCATAGAAGAATTGAACAAAATAATTTACAAGGTTAATGAACCCTCACTCAAAATTGTGTGTTCAGCTGTTTGAAGACCAGAGTAGGAAATACTTTTTAATGTCATGATCTGGTGAATACATACATGTATGTAAACAAAAGTTTTATGAATGATATGACTTCTTTTGTTATGCAGCTTTTCTGTTTTCTATTCTGTTGGTATTAATGCTTATTTCAGTACACAAAATTGACTTCATGACCCTTTTCTTTTCTTTTTTTTTTTTGTAGCACTGGGGATTGAACCCCAGGGCCTTATTCATGCTAGTCAAGAGCTCTACCACTGAGATATACCCCCAGCCGTTTTTATTTTGAGACGGTCTCACTAAGTGCCCACACTGGTCTTGAACTTGTTATCCTCCTCCCTTAATCTCCTGAGTAGCTGGTATTACAGGTGTGTGCCACCATGACTGACTTAATGACACATTAATGGATTAATACCCTTATTCTTGAAAACAGTTTAAAAATACACTATATAAGCACACATTAAATATTTACAAACTGACTTTCCAACTTCCCTCTTACCAAGCCTCCAGGGTCCTGTCACCATTCTGTCCTTACCCTTGATAAAACTTTGACTCTTCTAATTTTACTGAGTCAAGGCCATCTGATATGTTCATCTGCTTCTCTTCTCCATTTCTATATTTAGTCTATCTTCCAGACTTAGGAGAAAAAAAAGAACATCTTTCCTCTATTTCAAGGTTAGATTTTACACCTGTACTTTTAATTTCATCATCTCTGCCTGCTTTCTTTCTTTTTTTTTTTTTTTTTGTAGTACCAGGGATTGAACCCAAGGATGCTTAACCACTGAGCAACATCCCCAAAACTTTTTTGTTTTGTTTTTTTGAGGCAGGGTCTTGCAAAATTGCCGAGGCTTAAAATTACATTAAGCAGACAATTATAACTCAAGATAACGTAAAAAAATTAAAAATAAATAAATTGCTGAGGCTGGCTTCCACCACAGCTGGGCCCCCTCAGCGGCTGGCTTACAGGCGTGTGCCACCATGCCTCTGCTTTCTTTTCCTCCTTCAGTGTCTCCCCTCATTTTATATTTAGACATTTTTCCTTGACCATTCCATCATGAACTCAGTCTTAGTGGGTTTTAATGGTTTTTATTCTGGATTTCAGACATCATCAGTGATTTATTTTTAATCATTAGACTACAGCATGGTTGTTTACTTTTTAAAGTTAAAATCTTATTTTTTTGAATGGTTGATGTTTTTACATGGTTCAAAATGCCAAAGATGCAAAAAGGCCATTGAATTAGGAGATTCTCACCTTTATTTTCCTTCAGCTGCTGTAGACCCTGTCCTTTTTGCCCTGCTTCCTCTTGTTCTTCTTGCCTGTGTCTTCACCCACTCAGGAGACAATACATGTTTCAGAGTCATCTTTAAGATATTTCCTCTCTTCCTGACCTTCCCATAGCTTCCTTTGAGGAGTTTTATGTTAATCTCCTCTTCTGCATTCTTCACCCACTGACAACCCATTTCCCAAACTCATTTTTTGTTACATTTCATGTCCTTGCAAGCCAAGATTTTGCAATAATAACCCAGCTATTTTTCCCTGCTTCCAGTCTTTACTTCTTTTCAAGTATCATTTCATGAAACTTTGTTTCTGGTACATAGGTATGGATGTGTATGTGTTTACTAGGTCATGATTTACAAAGTATTTCATATGATGGACCTCAAACAGTTGAAAACTCTGACTTTCAGTTGAGGATCATTATGTCATCTGGGATATAATCCCTGGTTGTAATCTTGTTTTATTTATGTCACTATCTGCTTGCCAGAAAGTTCAGATTCATTACCATAATTGGCCTCAGTTTACAGTCTTATGAATTCAAGTCTCTACTGTGTTTGCTGGTCTTCTGTTATCTAGATCGTTCATTCCTTTATTTTTCTATCATCTTAACCTGATACAGTGTTTGGTTCCTGGTAAGTATTTGATATGTGTTCTCCTAATGATGGGACAAATTTCAGAAAATATCCTATACTTTTCTCTGCATTATTATTCTTGCTGCTTTCCTTATTATGCCTGAAGATCTATTTCTGTGTAACTGTTCCCAACTACTTTGGCTCTAACTTTTTATTCCTCCTTCCTATTCCTAGAGCTCTTATAACTGTTGAAGATCAGAGTGGCACCATTAGGAGATCTTGAGTTCTTTCCTTAGCACAAATATCTGTGTTGACAGACATTGAGACGTGGCCTGTCTGATTCAGGGGTTCTGGCTCACTATTGGAGTTAAAGTTAAATATTTAAAAAATAACAGATAAAAGCAGTAAGTGCTGGGATATAGCTCAGTGGTGGAGTGTTGTTCAGCATGTGTGAGGCCCTGAGTTCAATCCCCAGCACTTGCATACACACACTGCCATGCATACACATGAGAAAAATAGATACTTGATATCAATTAACAAATACCTCTTTAAGCCTAAAAATAATGAAAATGGTAGATTTCCATAAAAAATTAAAATGGAACATATTTGCAAACATGTCAAGGATTTGAAGTCTTTTTTTCCTTTACATAATTTTATTATCATAATTTTATTACATAGTAAGAAAACCAAACAAGGTGATTTTAGAGTTGCTTTTTTCAGAGACTCCATGATATTTTCAAGGGGTTAGATTTGTTTTATTTTTCCCCTCTGACCTCAGCATATTGGCCACAAGATGGTTTTAGTGACTCCATTATTCTCCTTTTCTTTGCCCATCTTACTAATTTTGTCAATTTTTATTAATCTTTTTGGATAAATGTCTTTTTTCATTTATAGCTCTTTGTTTTCCCTTTTAAGCTTAAAGAGACTGCCTACATTCTTTGGCTCATAGTTTCTTCCTCTGTCATTCATATCAGCAGCATATCATCTTCATATCTTTTTCTGATTCTCATGTTTGCTTCTGGCTTTTTATATCTTTTTCTCCTGAAGTCCTGAATATACAAAGAGCTTTTGAGTCAAAAGAAATATAAAGAAAAATTATTAGAAGATATGGACAAGGGAATCATAGTAGAAGGAAAAAAACATAAGCAATCTTATTGTTAAATGTTTAATCTTACCGCAACAGAAAGAAAATGAACATCATTTTAAGTGGTGGATTCCACCAAATTAGCAAAATTTAAAAATTTTGACCAGAGTACTTTAAAACAAGCATTTTTATATGCTTTTTGAAGATACAACTTGGTATAACATTTGTAGAAAGCAATTAGGTAATATTTGAGAACTTTACATTTTTTTAAAGTGTTTTGACCTACTGATTTCATTCCTAGTAATCTGTCCTAAAGCTGTTAATTAGGGAGGAAAATAACATATCTGCATAAAATTAATTATTTATCATAGTGTTTCTGTAACAGGGGTAAAACTTGCAATCACTTAAATGCCCAAGAGTGAGGTAATACTTTCTTAAGAGTAAAGTTATGACACCATGAAATTTCAATTTGAAGAATATTTCAAAGAACTGAGAAAATACTGTATTTGTGAAATAATACTTATAACATAATAATACTGTGTTTATAGTATTGTGGGTTGGCATACAAACCATGTGATCCGAAATATAGCAAAATAAATTTCTCTGAGTGGTGTGGAGAGGAGTGGAATGATAATTTCTGTAATGTTACTTAAAATTTCTTGAAGTTTCTGAGTGTGGCACTGTAGCAGGTTGGTTTGGAACACAGCCCTGACTCAGGAAGACCTTGCTTTTGTAGAGTGCCCCCATCCTTTGTTTGACTTTACCCTGTTAGTTTTGAAAGTATGTATTTCCTCATATGTGAAGTGGGACTCCTCATCCCTAACTCATAAAGTTTATGGATTGAACATGAAAATATATATCTAACAACTTTAAAAAATCAATTCTTTAACCAAAAAAAAAAAAAAAAAAACAGTGAAGTTGCGGGGCTGTGGCTGTGGCTCAGTGGTGGCGCACTTGCCTGGCATGTGTGAGGCACTGGGTTTGATTCTCAGCACTGCATATAAATAGATAAAAATAGGGGTCTATCAACAACTAAAAAAATAAAAAAACCCACTGAAGTCAACTTTTTGCCTCTCATTGAATGTAACAATAAAGACATTCAAGATACAGTAGTCAAAGTTCAAACAAATTTGGAGACTAAATTAGCTTTTAAATGTATGATTGTCTTGTGAATTACAGATCAAGTATTAGTTTCGCTAAAATAAAACTAAAATTTATTTGGTAAAATAAATGGTAATAAATGAAGTGCAATTTTAACTTTCTGCAAAGAGAAATATTGTTTTCTTGCTAATATTTTCCAGCTGTTGAACTAACTACCACAGATGTAACATTTTTCACCATGTACATAACAGCCTTTTGCAACATGGGTTCTGCAAGAGAATTAAGTCCCGTCATCCTTAGGCATCCTTTGTGTGTAATGAATTTGCTTCTCTCCTGTGCATGTAGAATGGTACCGGTTACATGATATTGCATTCTCATATGAGAGAAATGAGAACACAGTCACCTAAATCATTGAGATCTGTTTTCTGGTTCAGATGAAGAACCCTGATGGAGATACCCAGCACATGGGAGCACTCAATAAGTGTTTATGCTTTAGATGTTGTATAAAAGAGGAGTGACTTTCTTTGCTTGGTGTAAGCACCTTTGGAGAAAGTTTTTAGCAGAGTAGAATTCAGTAAGTAGACAGTGCTATGGTGGTTTTCCAGGCCTTATCTTTGGAACTGGGACTGGAACTGTGTTATAGGACTGAGCAGTTCCTTGTGTTTGCCCTCTTGTAGCAGCCTCTTTCCTCCACTGTAGGGCGCCAAGATACTGCATTCCATCTGGGTAGTATTTTTCAAGTCAATTCTCCCCTTGTAACTCTCCTAGTATCAGAAGCCTTATTCAGGCCTCAGATTTAATGCTTTGTACAAATTGCTTTATGATAATGAATTCAGTGCTGGATGTTTATAACTGCTTTTTTGGGAACATCAATCCTTTTTAAATATACTGCTAAATATATTGTTTTAATATTTTTCTGGTGATATGTTCTCATGACTGCTTCTTATTTTATTTTAGCTACTGATCTACTTCTTGCCTGGAATCCCATTTGTTTGGGGTTGGTAGAAGGTGTTATTGGGAAAATTCAACTTCATTCAGGTATGTTTCTATAATCTTCTTAAACTTGCAAATTTAATGTGGCATTCTGTGACATTTTCCTTTTTGAGGTTACATGAGTAGATTTTGAGTGTTCAACGTGGGTATTTCTATGTAAGTTTAATGAAATAAAAATAAAGCTTTAAAGAAAAGGAGGTAGAGAAATGGAGGCTTTCATTCTTTTGGTTTAAAAAAAAAACTCATAGAATACCTACTAAGTCTCAGGGATTATGGTAGTTGGTGTGACATAATGAACAAACTGACCCTTCACTACCCTGATGGAGCTAAATTTAGGAAAGACATAAATCACTGAAATAAATATATAATAGAGAATTGTAATGGGTTCTGTGCGGGAAAGATGTAGCAAGTACATTGACTTCAAGGGAGAAAATAGTAGGAATAAATCTGGAGAGGTAGGGAGGCAGCAGCCTGTGATCAGCTGCTTTGGGTCAGCTGCCTATTCCTGATACAGTCATCTCTAGCCAGGGGAGAGAATGGGTCTCTCAGTATGCAGTGTGGTCTTTTTAGGGATATTTTAGGGAGAGTTTAGGCCATTCACCAGGGCTTCACCTGGAAAGGCAGGAACCTGTTTCTTGGGTTCAGAGGGAATTTTGTTTGTGAGAAAATGTAAGTGTTAATAGAGGATAGGAAAGGCAGCAGAATACAACAGACACACACACACACACACACACACAAAAGTATGGCAGTATGTAAAAACGTGGATGTGTAACTGATGTGATTCTGCAATCTATATACGGGGTAAAAATGGGAGTTCATAACCCACTTGAATCAAATGTATGAAATATGATATGTCAAGAGCTATGTAATGTTTTGAACAACTAATAAAAAAATAAATAAATAAAAGAGAAAATATAAGTGTTATATAGGTGGGTAATAAAAAAGGCTAAATGAAATATTTTAAGCAATATATTTAAATATCTATTTTAACTTTGGTATCAACTTTAATATGTGCTGTGAACTATAGGAGGCTTTGCCATTATTGCTGTGTAACAGAAGTACTACGTATCTCTGTAACGTACCTTATTTATTTATTTGGGTACCAGGGATTGAACTCGGGGGCATTCAACCATTGAGCCGTATCCCCAGCCCTTTTTTTAAATATTTTATTTAGAGACACTGAGTTGCTTAGTGCTTTGCTAAGTTGCTGAGGCTGACTTTGAAATCATGATCCTCCTGCCTCAGCCTCCTGAATAGCTGGGATTATAGGTATGCGCCATTGAACCTGGCTTTTATTCTTTTAAAGTAAAATTATTATGTATTTGGAAGCTAGGTTTATTTTTGTTAATTAGAAAGCACATATTTCCAGGGACAGTCTAATTTTCCTTTACCAAATTCTTTGATTGTGATTTAAGATTTGGTTTTATTATTAAATATTTTATAAATGCTGTAAAATACTGTCACAACGGGCAAAGGTGTGACTTACGCAGTCAAGGGGGAGAAATAAAAAATGTCCACGCACTTCTGCCCTTTCAATGATTTATTCACTCAAATCACTCAATACAATAGGTTCTTAATCAAAAAAATGACTATCCTTAATGCTAGGCACTGCAATAGACATAATCAATCCACAGCAAATAATTCTAGATTAATTCTAAACACTGCAAGCACTCTTAATCATGACAGGCTCATGATGGACATTCCCTCTGCATGCTAATCTCAAGTGCCAGATCTAACGTCTCAAGCCTTAGGCTCTAAGTCCAGCAGATGCAGACTCACTCAGACCACGGTGATCAGGTAAGGGACCATGGCAGGTTTCTCCTGGGGTGGAGCTGACAGCCGGTTGAAGAGTGGGTCATAGGGAGAAGTTGCATTTCTCACCAGGGTCAAGATATGGCTGTAGAGTTTGAGAGCAGTGAGGAAGATGCGGAGGATCAGGCAAACGATGAGAAGAGTTGGGATGTCAGTCCAGATCCTCATCAGGCTCTCCAGCAGCGGGGCATCAGTGTTGGCTGACTGAATGTCTCTTCATTTGCTCCATCATTTATACTAAACCACCTTTTCAATCCCTATCAGCTGCCACAGGATTTCTTGGTGAGGTCATTTGCCCTGGGGTTAAGCATCTGGTCTAGGGGTCCCCACCCTGATTTTCTTGCCTTTCCTCCTTATCAGGGCAAGGGCAACATGACAGAGACTTCACTCTGAGCTTGTCAGGGAGGGGAGAAGTGACTTGTTTATGTCAGGACTATGCATGATGATCATATTGGAGGGCTCCGTAGGCGTGCCTGGTGAGACTGCAGGTTTCAAAGTGGAGTTTTAAAATGGAGTTGCTTAGGCTAAGGCCTAAGGTCATCTTTACAAATACACATGTATATGTACAATACAAAGTAAGAAATGAAGCAAGACTAGTGTCTTTGGAGCCTTCTCTGTGTCTTTCTTAAGTGTTTTCTTTTCTTGAAGAGAACCTACTATCTTTTTTTTGTGTGTGTGGTCCTGGGGATTAAACCCAGAAGTAGGGGTTGTATCATTAAGCTACATTCTGAACACCTTTTATTTTTTGTTTTGGGACAAGAGCTCACTAAATTTCTGAGGCTGGTCTCAGACTTGTGATCCTCCTGCTTTAGCCTCCTGAGAAGCTAGAATTATAGGTGTACACTACCATTCTGGCAAGAGCCCACTATCTTGAATTTTGTTCTTATTCCTTTGATTTTCACTATTGCTTTTATTATATGTTAAGTCTTAAAAAATATGTTGCTAACTTTTGTATTTTGGAGATTTTATATAAAGGACATTAAGCTATTTATGTTCTTCACCTCTCACCTTACCCCCTGCCATTGTTGTACTGGGGACGTTGTTAGGCAAGTGTTCTACCACTGAGTTACATCTCCATCCCTTTTTTCATTTTGAGTCAGGGTGTAATTAAGTTGCTGAGGCTGGCCTGAATTTGTGGTCCTCTTGCCTCAGCCTGCTGAGTAGCTAGGATTACAGGTATGTGCCATTATGCCTGGCTGTTCTTTTACTTTTATTGTTTATTTTTGAGATTTATTCATGTTCATATATGAAATTGGAATTCTGTATTTTCCCTATTATATGAAGATATCATGATTTGTCCTTTTTCCTGTCATTGGGTAATTGAATTGTTGTCTTCTTTTTTCTCCCTCTATTAGAAATAATACTGCTTTGAGCATTGTTGTATATTCTGTCTTTGGTAGGTTTAAAAAAAATTCTTTCAACATAGAGGAGAAAAGCATTTAGTCATTCTGTAACCAGGCTAAGTATTTTAATAACACTCTCCTACCTGTCCACATTTACATACATATATTTTAATTCATTTACATGCTGACAGGATAATTTCACAGCTGGATGTTCTGAGCTAAAATTCATTTTCTATTATTTAAATGACACGTATGAAACTTCTGAGTTATTTTTCTTTAATTTCAGTCACATCTTGGAGCAGTGAATAAATCACTGCAATCAGTCAGGAGACCAGGATTCAAGCTCCGTTTATTAGCTTTGTGATAGAGGGGAACTTACCCATTTCATTTGTTGTTATATAATAAGCCATCCCAAAGCTATGGCTCAAAAAGAACAACAACGTATAATGTCTCATGATTCTGTGGTCTGATTAAGTGACTCTTCTATTCTTCTTTTCTCTTCTGTTACTTTATTTTTTTTTTAAAGAGAGAGTGAGAGAGAATTTTTTTTTTAATATTTATTTTTTAGTTTTTCGGCGGACACAACATCTTTATTTATATGTGGTGCTGAGGATCGAACCTGCGCCGCACGCATGCCAGGCGAGCGCGCTACCGCTTGAGCCACATCCCCAGCCCTTCTCTTCTGTTGATTGGGGTCCTTCATGCAGCAGCCATGGGTTTGCCCAGATTGCTTTTGTTTGCCTTCATGTGGCCTGTCTATGGGTCTCATCATACAGGGCATCTCACTGGGTCCTTCTCCCTCTTCTAGAGAACCTGGACTTCTTTTCAAAGTTGTGACTGGGTACCAGGAAGACAGACCTCAAAGTGTAAGGGTCTCTACTTCTTAAGCTGTACAAGAGTAAAAGTAACTGTTTTATTTCTGTAGTGTATTATGTGCCAAATGAGATAACATACCTGAAGGTTCTTAGTAAATTAAATACCACTATTTTATCAAGACTCTCTTTGTGATTCAAACCTATCAGGTTAAGCAAAAACAAATTTTTTATAAGTGCCGCAGTCTGGCTGGGCACAATTTAGGAGCCACTGTCAAAAGAAACGAACTTTATTTTTAGAACACACACACCAAACCACACAGCTCCTCAGGA